CAAATCGAAACCGTTTCAAACTGAGGTCAAACCGAACTGCCAGACCGAAGTCCCACCCCAACTAATGACCTATTATAGTTGTGTAAAAAGAGTGCTGCCTTGTACTGGACACATAGTGACTAACTATCAGCGACTCCTTGTTATGGTCCATTTACCCATGCCTAGGCAGAAAAGAAGAGAGAAACATATTAGGTCCTCGAGACAGTAGCCATTCACATTGCGTTGATAATGATTCTGCTTGAGTAATGTTTTTTTGGCAAAGTCACGATACTTTTTACTTTTGTGAGGTTTAAAATGCCATAGAAGTGCACTCAGGACGAGGGTTTGGTTTGCTGAGTTGGTGATAAGGAGTCTGTAAAGTTTGCTACTGCGTGTACTTAGCTACTTCAAATTATCACTTCTTATATGCTCTCGTCTTCCCTTTTAGAGCAGTTTTGATGCTGGTAGTCATTCAGCTAGATAGAACATTTGTCAGAAGCTCATACATTCTCATAGTAAGAATTCTTCTTGATGATCCCCCAAACATCATTTATAAATACTCATTGCATATTTACTATGTATGCTACCTAGGAGCCTAAAGTCAACTTTTTTGAAATAATTGATGGCCATAGGATCCTTGACTCGGCTGTCCAACTTGCCATTATTTCTCGCATGCTTTTTGATGGCAATACAAGCATTGCCATAGATTCTGTAATGAACAAACTCCACAGTCACCCACTCACTAAAGCAGTAAAGCACCTATAGACATAATCTCTTAGTCTTGTACTGCCTGGCTTCTCTTGCTAGTAGAATTGTGTAAGCAATAGCAGCACTCTGTGTTTCAACTCCTCAAATCAACTCATAACTGAGTGACTATCACTCTATCGAGCTTTGACCGTTGGCTGCCTCAAATGTTTCATAATCAGTCTGATGTTCAATTGCTTTCAAGTTTCATCAATTCCCTGGATAACCTTGCAGCTTCATAAATTACCCTGGCGAGGCTAACTACCATAAAAAGTATAACAGGGGAGTTATTGAGGAGATTATTTATGTAATTTAATGCAGCATAAACTTTCCTTTCAGTCTTTTTCGTTTGCTTTTGTTGGTTAATTGTATTCTAGTGGAGTAGTATTAATATCTTTATTCTGATGTTTAATAGTCATGCAGGAAAAGCTTCTCTACAGACAATGTTCTGGAGCACTCGCGATTAGCATTCTCTAATCCAACCTCAGCAGGAAAGGCATTGGCAACCAATTATACTGGTACGGGATCTTTTTTGGTGTACAAAACATAGTTATACCACTATTAATTTTATACTCCAATGTATTTGCTGTATTAAAGCTTGTAAGTTTCGAAATCACACCGGTTTAAGCTCCTGAATATCTTGCAAACATTTTATCTTTGCATTCTGCTAATTACTTACCATTGTAACCAAATTACCAGACTCAGGAACCAAATTATAACCCAACATTTATTCAGCTTAGGGATGCATTATATTTATTTTTATTTTATTGAAGGAAAGCTTATGGATGCATTATATGTTTCATGGTAAAAATAAATAAATAAATTAAAATATATATCCTTCCTTTCTTTTCTTCTTCAAAAGTGGGCTTTGGAGTACAAGGCCCTTAAGATTATTCAAATCTCAGTTTGTTTACAAGTAACAGGCCCACTTTCAAGCCTGTTGCTAAATATTTCATCACCTCGTAAAGCAAGTGGGAAAAAAAGCTGCAAAGCCCGTAATATCGTTTGTTAGTTGATGTGTATATGCAAGTATATTTTTACATAGAATTTTAGTGTGGAAGTATGGTAGGTGGATGAAATCATTGTACATAATCCTGCATTTTCCCCAAAAGTTCACATTTTTGTGTGCAATAACTTGTTTCTTTTTAGCACTTTTTCATTACAATTAATGCGCAATATTATAACTTTTGCACATTAAAAACATTGGGAAACTGTTTAATATCTTTGAATTAAAGTTATGGATTTGCTAGATAATGTAAAAGTTTACAAGGAAATTTGGAGAGAATATAGTTGGTACTTGTATTATATTGTGATGCTTTTTTTTTTGGGTTGTATTGGGTGCTTGATATCCTAATTAAAGTAGTTTAGTTTACCACTTCAGAAACAATATTAGAGTAGATCATTCATGAATTACTTTTAGGAGGGAGGCATTCCATTGGGAGGATGGAAAGAAAGGAAAAATATAGAGAATTCACAAATTTGAGTGTAGTGGAAGGCCAAGGTTATAACTTCCAACCTATTATGTAATATCCATTCATTCTACAACCTATGAGTTTCATTCCTAACTCGATATTTTGTGCTAGGAAGCAAATCAGGAGAGTTTAAAGAATAAAAGAAGACCAAGAAAGGGAGGGGGGAGGGGAGGGGGTGACAATGATATGCATGTCATGTGCGTGTTCGATGTTCACTATCATCCTTGAAATTTAAATGAGATAGGTAATACTTTGTAAAGGTTCTGTTATCAGGGTGATGTTGCTTAATTGAACTAGAAGCATACATAAACTGTTCCAAGTGGCTAATGGTTTTTGGCGATTGTGTTGACTGTACGTATGCATGTTGGCTGTGATTTAGGTTCTGAGTTCTGACTGATAAAGCTTATGTGTTTGAGAGGGAGATAATTTTTTTACAATGTGTCACAGCTCACCCTACTTTAGATCACACCTGGAATGAAGATAGTGAATTAAAATGTAATAGGAGATTAAAATCAGTTGGAGGATAATAGATTGATGAGCGAAGGTGTTGGTGATTGAAAAAGGAATTGATTGTGATGGTTCCCAACCACCCTACACCCAAATGAACGTAACAGTTCTTCCATTGGTTTCCCCCCTCCGACCATCAATGCCTCGTCCCTTTTACTACTTGGTTTAGCCTCCTTTTCCCTCGATTAAATTTTCTTGAAGCATTCTTGTGAATAGGAGGATCAAGGTGAAAGAATTGATGAAATAAATTGCAGGGTAAAGAATTGAAACGATGTCTTGGACTACATAATTTTTTTTTGGTCAGTTGATTTGTCTAAACCATGGTATGATTGATGCTCATATCCCCTCGCCCCTTGCGCGAAGCACATCCTCACCATCTCCACCAAATATAATTCGTGAACTGTTTGAAATGTTGCAGTTTGCTTTGCTGCTGCTTATTATCTTGCTTATAAGTGAATTTGCATTACAGTATAAATCTTGGACTTTACATGCTATTTCTTTCATCGACCATGTTTAAGGGTCTGTTTTGATTGACTGAACTGAATTGAATTGAATATTTTATAAGAGAAGGAAATTAAGATAAGAACTGAACTAAACTAAGCTGAAATGAACTAAATTAAACTGAAATGAACTGAACTGGAAACAAGATAAAGAAAACAGACCCTAAATCACAAAAAAAAAAAAAAAAAAAAAAAAAGAATTACTGTTTTTTTGATGTCCGGTGTTTTTTATGTTTCACTTTGTCAAGAAAAGTGCACAACATGATTCTCTCATCCAAGACCAATCTGAGTATAAACTGTGTTATGGATCAGCAGACTGAAAAATTAGGCATTTTGCGATTCAACTATGGGTCTTGATGGTGTCTTATCTCCTCATAAAAGTGGTTTTACTTCCTCTTTACAGCAGAAAAGATTGCACAGAATGATATAAGCAGCTCCGCACTCATCCAGCGACACTGCGTTCTTCTAATAGCTATTGTTCTCCTTGTTTTACTGTGCACAATAATACCTTTATTTTGCTGTCACACTGGGATCAGTTGACTTATGTTCTGGTTTATTGGGAACAGAAAGTCTTGTCTGGTAAATCATGGCAAGGGGAGTTTCAGGGGGGAGCCCCAGTTTCTCTTCTTGAGAAACATTCAGTGTTTCTCAAAATGGCAAGAATTGTAAATAATAGCAACTTTAATAATATTTTATTATTTTTTGGTTGCTGATTCACTCATGTCCCTCGTTCCCTTCTCTCTCCTGCTTCCTTCTTTTGAACTTATCAACGTAATAATGGTGGAATTGTTACCCAGATTAGACAGCAACCCACCACCACAGCATAGACCAACCCCAACCCACCATCTCGACAGCCATTTCCGGCAGTTTCTTCTGAGTTCTACGAAAGCCCTAAGGAAAGTGGAGAAAGAAAGGACATTGTTAACCCTAGAGGGTAAGTGTTTTTTTAACCTCAAAAGCTACTTCAATGGTGGAGAGAAAGGTGCTTCAACGGAGGAGAGAAGTTGCTTCAATGGTACATCTAAAATGTCAGTAATTGTGGAAAAGGAGAAAAAAAATTAGAGAATTACATTTTTATCCCTGATTTACTAGCTAAAAAGACAAGTTTATCCCTATGAGAAACACTCCTTGTTTCTCAAGAAGAGAAACTTGGAATTACCCGAGTTTCAGCAATGGAAAATTGAATTAAATTGAAGCATGACAGTGAACCAACAGTGTTCATCGGCGACCATTGCCCATTATTTGGAAATATTCATCCCGAACTATTTAACACAAAACTTACATTGTATACATGAACGACGGATACTATGTCCTTGAGAAAATCGTAATCGCTGATGATCCAAAAGAAAAGATTGGGTATCTATAGGATGTTTTTTATACATACCGAGGTCTCTAAGAAAATGGTAATTGACATATCTTTGACATAAATATGCTGTGTTAACGCTAATAGGTTCTAACTAGATCAATTCAAAGTTGATTTTTACTGAGCTCCAATATCATATGAGTATTATGCTTCTGGTTTACCATTAACTCATCAAGTGACATTGTGTTCCACTAGCGATTGCAACTGCTGGGAATGTAAAATAGAGTAACTGCAAGTGAGCAAAAACCCTTTTACTCGATCTACAATGCTTAATAATTTATTAAACCTCATTAACAGTCTGATGACCAGATATCAAAAAGGAGCACGATTATAATAAGCAATAATAGAGTTGCTTAAAGACAGTTAAAGTTGCAATAAAGACTTGAAAGAGTATTAAGCAATTCGCAAATTTCATAGTTCAAGAGCAAAAGTTACTTGAGGTTGCAATAAAATGTACTTTGTATTAAGCAATTTGCAAAATATTTATTAAATTATAGCTCTGAATTATTTTGATTTCAATAGAATAATTAAGCATATGAGAGCATTAGAGCATAACAAAGAGTAGAAACTGAATGGTTTCCTCTCATCAAGGACAAAAAATATATCCTCCTCTTTACTATTCCTGTGAATTAAATTGTGTTAACAAAGAAAGAAAATGAACAGACTGCACTCATGGAGCAAACAACTAACCAATCCTTTAAAAGCTGGTACACTATCGTTCAGCTGATGAAGAAAACTGTAGAGTGATTAATCAGCGAATCATGTATTATGACAAATGAGTGCTATCATTTAGCTGAAGATGAAGAGAGTCGTGCGCTCCTTGCTTTGTCAGCCTTTTCCGCCTTTTCCAGGTAGTCTTGATGAGATTGTTGCTTAGATCCTTTACAAAAGGTAGAGACAGACAGACAGTTTTAGACATAGCAACAAAGTAAAATACAGTTAAGTACAAATACCAACATAGTATCAATCTTTTTATGGCAACACTGGGAAGGCCAGCTATAATAGAGTCATTATATCATAAGTTCATAACTAGCAGTTCTGGCAAGATGGAAAGCATTTTCAATTTAAAAAAAAAAAAAATATGTTTGCGGTAAAAAGTATTCAAAATGAAAAGTCAAAAAACATGCTTTTAAACAATGCCACCAAGCGCGACAAAGATGAGTCACTGACTCATTGAAGCACTCACACAAATTCAGATATTTGAAGCAGAGAAGCTGTCAAAACCAAGGAATTGTGGTGTATACTAATAAACAATTAGCATAGCATTAGCTTTATAGTTTATACCATCACTTTGAAGACTAGCAACCTCCAACATTATAATGTCAGTTTTGATACACAGAATGGAGGTTGAGATACCATAGCACACAAGAGAATGCTAATTTGTTAATCATAACTAGTGCAACATAACTTATTCCCCAGGATACATCTACACTAACTGAGAAATTTGTTGATCTGCTAACTTGATGGCACATTCAAAAGAAAATCTACCAAAACATTTTCATGAAAATGGTGGTCGATAAGTTGCAAAATTATTTTATGACTCACATACTGCAGAAGAGTTGCTAAAGATTAAATATCAGTGTAATGCAGTTTCTACCAATTTAATATTCCAAATGGATTAATGTAGACGTCGGGCACATATAATATAAAACACTTTGAATATCAGCTCATCAAACATCTGACCAGAGTTTAAAAATGCATATGTTGACAACCAACAAATTGAAAAAGAAGTAACAATAATTATCACTCCGACGGTCAGTAGGAATGAGTAATAACAAAATACAACAATAAATAGGACGCCCAAGTCAACTGAAGAGTGGACTGATAGCCTGACATGCTAAACAATGAGAGTAAATAAAGGGGCTTTTTGATTCAATTGAGAGGAAAGGAAAATAATCAAAATCCTATCATCACCATGTAGTCTACTTTGAAATTATATGAATTCTTTAATTTCCTAAAATAACACCTCTGCAATCCCCTCAATCATCCTCTCCTTAGTCCTTACCCTCCCCAACACATAAAGCTCTATCTAACACTGGTGAAGAGATATTGATTGTTGAAGTGGTGTTAAGTGGCAGTGAGGCTACGCTGTGGTGGGAGAAGAGATGGATGGTTTAAGATGACGTGCGAGGATGACGGAATAGAGGAGGATGCGTGATTTGAAATGCCAAGGGAACACTGGTTAGAGAGAAAAGGAAAAAATAACCCAAACAATAGAGAAGTAAGAGAGAAGAGTCCTTCTTGAAACCCACAACAAAATGCAGCCTATAATTTGTATCTCATTTATCAAGTCCATGATGTTTAAGTTTGGAGGTTGACAAGTCAAAATATGGACCCTGAGGAAACTATAATTGTACCTGAAGAAAAAGATTCTAACATGCGCAGAAACCATTAGAGTATAAATATGCATCATTGCAAGAATACAATCAGTTGGGCCTGATGCATACATCAATTCTTTCTATATGGTTTGATGCAGTAATCAGAAAAGAACAGCTGATAAAATTGAAGCCTATAATCAGAATAACACAAAAGACTGTACTAGTTACAGGTTCTCATCAAATGACACCCTTCATCAGTGTGATACTTATGCTGAGATGGTACACTTGAAGCCATCTAAAAATCACTTCTAATGAAGGGTACAAACCTTTGTAGCAATTACAATTTACTCTATCATTTATGTACTATTTGATTTAATGATGCAGCAAAACAGAACACTCACTTTCATTCTTCTTCTTCTTCCCAAATCCTTTCGATCAAATGTGATTTTCTTAAGCAAAGGGCAAAGGGATCGATGTACAGACGTACAGTTAGTTTACATTAGTCTTTGAGTTAATGCATCACTTGAAAACGAAGAACTGTAAAATTATATTATCAGTGGCCTAGTGCTAGAGTTGATGACTTGATGGTCCAACACAAACTGTGAGCTAAATGATAAAGCCAATTAAATCAAACCGAAAACTCAGGTCAAAAGTTAACGAAGCCAAGAATACTAAACTAGCTCATACTCTAAGGAATTTTAATTACATCTGCATCCAAACAAATCCATTAAAATCAATCAGCAACATCTATCAAACACCTCTAAAGATGATCAAACTAAGGACAGAACAGTAGAACAGGGATTGGACGTACACATCCCAAAAACAAGGCTATTCCAATTCAACTACCGTAATATACCCGAAAAATCTGTTGAAAAAGGTCTATTCCTCAACCGAGTTGCTAGAGCAAGTCAATCCCAAAATCTCTCAATTCAATTACTCCAACGACAACCTTACAAATCATCTACACATATCTTTCAAAGGGGTTCCATTAACAACTCAAATAATCATAATCATAACAATGATCATAATAATCCTACAGAAACACAATTAAAAACAACCATCTATAAAACTATCAAAATAAAAGCCTAATTCATAATTCTCCTTGAAACAAATTCAACCCCAACAAAATAAATGCAAGAAAAACCCAAATGATAAAAACCCAATACAAAGAATTGCACAAATGATTCATAAACAGAAGATGAAAGTGGAGAGAGAAAGAATGGACCTCGGGTCATGTAGTACCAAGGAACGGCGAAAACAGCAGTAATAATGGTCAACCCTAGAAAGACGTGCTTCTTCTCTCCACTGTAAAGGAAGTGGTTTAGTTTAGCTTTGAATCCTCCGCCATTTCCATTGCCAATTCCATTGCTTGTGTTTGGTTTGCCTTCCGTTGCCATTTTTCTGTGAGCTCCGACTATGTGAACCTTCTTATGTTAGGGTTCATCACATGGTCTAATTTTAAACTCGTCTCTAATTTAGTAAAAATTTTAAATTACTCCCTAAAAATATATCTATTATTAAAATAACCATCCGTTAATTTTTCATTTTTATTTTACCATCCTTAAATTCAAAAACTACTCATATTACCCATTTTAAAATTTTGGTGGAAATCTCTTATGTGGGCCCCACCCAACGATTCTTAGTGGTGACGGAATGAAGATGATCAGTAGCAATGACAATTCACACAACAAGCTCTTCTCTTTTTTTTTTTTTTTTTTTTTGTTGTTTTCCTTTGGTTTTTGGTTGTCTTGTACTCAATAAATTGGTTAAAGGGGAGGTGGAATGAACAGAGGCCTGATTGTAATGTTGTAGTCGTTACTAGTCGTTGGGTGGGTCAACATAAAAGAAATCCAACGAATTTTGAAATGGGTGGTAATCTGAGTGTTTTTTTTAAGGGGTGCTAAAATAAAATAAAAAATTAAACGAATGGTTATTTTGAAAATGGATACATTTTTGGATGGTAATTTTAAAATCTTTCTCTAATTTTTTTTTTTTTTTGGGAGGATTCTAGCTTCTCTAATTAGAGCAACTCCAATGGTTGCTTTTAGGGACTAGCTTGCAATTTTAATAATTTTCAAGCTAATAGCCAAACCATTGGAGGATACTTTGATAATTAGCTTGGCCAAGCTAATGCCAAGCAAATTAGCTTAACTAAGCTAATTAGCTTAGAAATTAATTGTCTCTAATAAAATACTAATTATTTAAAAAATAAAGCTGAAAAATCTAAATGCTAATTAGCCTAACCATTGTGGTATGAATTAGCTAGAAGAAAGAATAGCTTTGCAATCCTAAGTAGTATGACAAGCTAATTGGCAATTAGCTTGCCCTTGGAGTTGCTCTTAGTGTCACACTACTGCCATTGCACCCAACAAAAAAAAAAATTAAATAAAAATTACAACAAAAGGATTAAAGGAATGCCTTACTGTAGTCCTTGGAGGCCGGTAAAATGTAGAGGTGGGAAAATGAGCATTAAAGTGATGACTCGTTCATTTTTTATGTCATTAAAACATGGTTATTTTTGTTAAAAATAATACTAAGGAAATACTCCCTCATTTCGTAATAATCGTAATAATAGGGTTAATACAAAGTTTTAGGGAAATTATAGGGTGAGGATTAAAAGAAGAATTCTGTAATATAAAATAGGAAAAATACTCTTTAATAATCTCAATTATTGCCGATTTACCTTTAATATCCTCAACTAATGTTTATTTTTTTAATAATCCTAACTATGCCTTGAATTTGTCTCCAATAGACCCATCTCGTCAACACCAAGTCAATGACTTGCTGGAAGATGTAACCAATACATGTCTCAGCACGTGATTGGTCTATATTAAAGAAAAAACAAAAAACCCTCACAACCACCACCCCCTCCCCTTACGCCATCGCAAAACACTAGGGCCAACCCCTAGCCCGTCAAGAAATGGTCGGTCGTCTCCCCTAACCCTCGAAAATGGGCGATCGACCCTTCCCAACCACAAAACCACCTTAGCTGGCCCATTCCCACCCCCAAACCAACGAATTCGACCATCAAAAACTCTCACTCCCAAATCATCGAATTCGACCGTCGAAAACTCCCACTCCCAAACCACCGAATTCGACCGTCGAAAACAACCTTTCCGCCATCGATAACAACCCTCCTCCCTTCCTCAACCCCCGAATTTGACCCCCTGGACGGTTTTGAGGGTGTAGGAAGGGAGGAAGACCGACACTGATTATTGATTTCGTTTTGTTTCCCGGCTAAGGAGGAGCGAAGGGAGGTAAGTGGTTTAGGGGGTTGAGGTGGATCGGCTGTTTTTTGTGGCTGGCCTGGTGGTTTTGGGGGCTGGGTTAAGGTTTCAAGGTGGATGAAGTGGCGGGTTGGTTTTTGTTTTTTTTTCTTTCCTTTTTTTTTTAAAAAAAATATTAGGTTAATCATGTGCTGACATGTGATATTTTAAAAAAAAAAAAGTTTATCCTTTCAGCAGGTAACAAATTTTTTGGTCTATTGAAAGTTAACTCAAGGCATAGTTAGGATTATTAAAAAAAAAACCTTAGTTGGGATTATTAGAATTAAATCGATAATAGTTGAGATTATTAAAGTGTATTTTTCCTATAAAATATAGTTAGTGGGGACAGTGGCAAATCTAGGGGGGTACTCAGAGGTACAGTTGTACCAATTTCGCGAAGAAAAAAACTGATACAAAAAGAGACCGCCTGTATCTAATAGGGGGTCTCTTAGGTACTGTTATTAGTAATCTTTGAACAAAGAGACCTGTTGTTACAATAACAGGTTTCTTAGACAATCTCTTTTTAAAAAGATATTTCGTTACTCAATTATAAGCCTTGTTGTCGGAAGATATGGTGTATAGTACACACAAATACTAATACAATAGTTAAATGGTTTATTTACACAAAATTTAATTAAGAAAAAATTATTACACTCCACATATTACTTTGTATTTTGTAATTTTTTTTTATTAAACTTAATTTCGTACCTCCATTCCCCAAATCCTGGATTCGCTACCGAGTGGGGATATATTCATGTACTTAATTGTTAGTGAGAGAGAAGTTAAAAAATAATGTAAGTAGATTGGGATCGTGGTTACAATTTTTGTGTTGATTTTACAAGGTCTTCTCCTTTGACACAATCTGACTCATCTGACATTGTTCTTGGACGGGTTGTGACTGATGTGGCTCATTGTAGGGAATAATTTCAAGCCTTAATCCCACTAGCTTGAACCCCACTATGATCATAAACTAAAGTACGGTGTCGTCCAAAAGGGAAGAAGATATAGCAAAAGAATCGCCAACAAGTATTTTAGGAACTTGTAAACCGTTCATAGGATGAAGGTTACACCCCTTAACGGTCCAAGAGATCGTCAACTCCATAAGGTCTAGAACCAAATAAGGGTTCGGGGATGAAGGTACAAATCCAACCTAAAAGAGATTGAATCTGCCCTAATAATAGGGCTCTACTTTATTCTGATCGTATTCATGTGCGCTTTCTGATTAACATGCAATCAATAGGTTAACCCTAAACCTGTTTAATCTATGTTGGTTGAATATTAATGCACAAATAAACTATTATTGGAGATCACTTGAATTATAATCACAATTAACCCTAAACAAGATTATTAAATATCTTATTAAGAGTGATAACAAGTACTAATCCCCTTTAAATATGCATAAAAGTGTGATCAAGCAATAACAATAAATATCAAGCAACATAATAAATTATCAATATCATGAATAATAAAATTATAATAATAACAATAATAATCATAAATAAAATAATCATCATCATAATAATAATAATAATAATAATAATAATAATAACAATAATAATTATAATAAAAATAATAATAATAATAATAATAATAATAATAATAATAATAATAATAATAATATTCATAATCATCATAAATTATAACAACTATAATCATAATCATGTTCATGTTAATATTAAAGCATAATAAAAATAGCAAGATCCTAGGCATGATACTAACAAGATTAATAACAAACCCTAGCATGTCACTAAGCAATAAAAATCAAGTCTTTAACCCTAACATGATACTAGAAATCATAAATATTAGGAAGAACATAGGAAGCATCGCATGAATCATATTTAATATTAAAAGTACCCTAGACATGATACTAGGAATATCATAATAACAATATAAACATGATTTCTACATCATAATATCAATTAAAACCATTAAAGTACTTACTTTGATGCCTCGTACCTCTTTCTAATAACAAAATACACGCGTTAGTAACTTCAAGGAAAATAATAAACAGCAATTAAATTAAATAATTGAAAGAGAGATTTGGGACCAAACCCTCAGAAATTAAAACTTTCACGTCTCGAGAGAAGGCAACTTCGAATATGGCTAGGTGTATCTAGATCTTGTGAATGCGGAATTTTGTATGAGAAAACCAAGTTTAGGAAGAGATGAATGAGAGAGATGAACGAAAGAATTAAAAGAATGCTAATGAATGTATGAATGGTGAGAATTGATGAATCTTGATGATGAAAACTGATTTTTAAATACGATATTTATAGAGAAAATTAACAAAACAGAGTCTGACGCTCAGGAAACAGAGCTAGCGCCAACGCTGGCTAGCTGGCGCCAGGCGCCAGCACTAGCGCCAGACGCCAGGCCTGGTTCTAGGCGCCAAGGCCTGGGGTTGGACGCCAAGCTTGATTTTAACGCGTTTTTGAAAATCCGATAAGTTTACCGTACTGGAGGATAAAATAATATAATTTCTTCGAAAATGCTATTTGATTTTGATTAAAACTCTGAAAAGTCAACAAAAGTCAATTTATCAATGCTAACTGAATTAGGAATGAAAAGAACCTTCTAGAAGAATCTAGAAAACTAAAACCATTCCTAATTGCATTAGGAATGATAAATCACATTAGGCCCTCCCCTAGATCATTGGGCCGCATATAAATCTCAAACCAGACCCAGTTTGGTAAATTGGCCATAACTTCCTCAATATTCATCGGAATCGGGCTTATACTATATCGTTGGAAAGGTCTTTGCAAGCCCCATCCAACTACACCACTATTGGACCCATATCATGGACCAGCCAAACTGGATTGGCTGTTTTTTTAAAATAAAGTTTTCAAAACAGAGAGAAGAGAAAAGAAAATAAAAACTTTCCACAACACTAGACTTTCCACACTTTCGTTTCATTCGATTATGATTCGACGTGAAAGGTACTCATCACCGGGTTCGGTTTTGGGAGACACAAATGGGTGTCTACAGAAGCCCCCACTTTGACTGAGTTTGGAGAAACGCGAGTTTTAAAAAACAAAAGTCAAAGTATCGATAGGGACGGAGAATGATTCAGAACGTTCTGCAATCCTAAATCACTCTTGTATCGCCGACACCTGCAAACTAGCATTAGTTAAACAGATAAAAGAGTTAAGAAACGTGTATCTTCCACCGTCGAGCACACGTCTCTGAAAGTAACCG